GGGAGGGATTAAAAGCCAATTAAAATTGAAAATATGGTCGTTATTGGACCCCACTCGTCTAATAAAAGTCAACAATAACGACTATATTTTCAATTTTAATCTGATTTTAATCCCTCCCATACAAGCCCTTATTTTAATGAGATAAAAAGCTGGTCCGGGGCATAGAAGGCCCTTTAACCGGCCCGTAAAGAAAGAAAAATACAGAAATAACATCCCTCTCGACTGTACTAGAACATTCGAAATTTTCTCACCCCTACATTTAAAGGGGGTAAAATTTCCTCTATTTTCCGCATAAAAATTTCCCTAATTTCGATTCTATTTGATCTTCCGAAGGGTCACTCAGTTAATCTCTCTGCAAAATTCATTTTTTTCCCGCATATTGATGTCGGGTAACGTTTCTTTTACCATTTAATTTTTAGTTTTACCGTTTACAATCGTGATTGATATAATTTCTAGTTTATTATGAGAAGGAACTGAACTATAATTTTGATTGCTTGGAAATATGATAAACNGAACTATAATTTTGATTGCTTGGAAATATGATAAACAAATTATTTTAATGTATTTTGTCATTTTTCGGAAGTCAAGGGAATCAGGGTTATTCAATGGACAACATTTTGTCGAAAAGGTTGCATTTGTCTCTTCAAATGATCAGTTAGTTAGGTCGGTGAATTTACAATTAGTATTACGTTGGAAATGAGAATTTGCAGACTTTTGGTGCTAGAATTTTTTTTATAGGTGGTTTGATCTCTCATGAAATGTGGAATGGGAAGTGTATCTCAATGGAAAGTGAGGGATGAAAACACAGTCTACTTGGCGTTTATGTGGCATCAAATGATACGTGAAATTTAATTTCACCTTTCGTTTAACTTATCATTTAAAGCCACCTAGACCGTGTTTTCATTCCCAGGTATGAATAACATAGTGAAAATGATTTGAACTGATATTATTAGAATATACTGTTTTAATTAAAAAAAATTGAGAACAGCTATCAGAACTTCAATATTCTTCGGGCAACAGAAGTCAGTAAATAAAAATTGAGAGACAGCTGGAAGATGATAAATAAAAATTTGCGGTCACTTTACTGGTTTGTTAGGCAACTTGCAAAACAGCGTGTTACATGTATATATGTCATTTTCAGGGTCGTAGATTTTATTCCTTTTTCTGTAGTAAATAGGTATCACAGATTCTTTCTTATGTCAGTTGATTGTGTTAGTTATAATTTTTATGCACCATATATGTATTCTTACGAGAGAAGTTAAAGTAGATACGATGCATCTTCTGGTGATATTATTTCCTTAAAAGTTGTCATCTTTACAGTTGAGTAGTCTATCCTGCTGCTGTTCGTTAATACTGTGTGTGACATTTCAATCTGTCTTTCAGGGAACTAGTGACTAAACAATGCAGGGAGGCAGAGATCCATTTTTTGGTTTTGGTCAACCTTTTGGCAATTTTGGTGGTTTTGATGGATTTGGAAGTCACAGGAGTATAATAGCTAGCTTTTTGGGTGGAAGAGACCCATTTGATGACCCTTTTTTTAAACGCCCATTTGGAAGCATGTTTGATTCTAGCTTCTTTGGTCCTGCTGGAAATCCATTTTTGGATACACGTGCTTCTGGGTTGCTTGAACATCAGCCATCCCAGCCTAAAAGATCCAGGGGACCAATAATTGAGGAGTTGAAATCTGATGACGATGAACAAGAAAAGGAAAGGAGAAAGGAGATTAAAGATAGAAATCCAAGGAAGCATGGTAGGTCTAGCAAAGAGCCTTATGTGGAGTATCCGGATGATGAAGGCCCAGGTTAATAGTATTTTGTGTCTTATTATGCACTTGATTTCTTTTCATGCACAACTGATCATGTTTTCATGGACATGGATTGATTTATTTTTGTTTCAGAGAAAAAGAGTAAGCAGATAACTCAACGAAATGATTTTAACCAGATGCATGTAAGTTCACAACCCCAACCACACAGCTTCACTTTTCAGAGCTCCACTGTGAGTTATGGTGGTACAAATGGGGCATACTGCACCTCATCCAGAACAAGGAGGACCAGGAGTGATGGTGTAAGTGAACTTCAAGATGACGTGATTTATTCCTTGAAATTTCTATTGCCTTCTTCTATATTATTTTTTTAAATCAACAGTTGATGTTGGAAGAATGTAAAGAAGCTAATTCATCAACCAGACAAGCAACTCATAGGATCTCAAAGGGGATTCACGACAAGGTATCTTCTCTAGATCCTCCTCTTCTTGTTACATCATATTCTATTTCAATTACATCTGAGATGTTAATCCAGATCTTTGATCTCTAATGTCTGAAAGATGTTCATTTTGCTGCAGGGTCATTCTGTTACTCGGAAATTGAAGGCAGATGGTAGAGTGGACACGATGCAAACCCTGCACAATCTTAATGAAGGTAGTTTCTAATATAATATATATTTTCACATAGGGTGTTTTTAATGTCGTGCAGATTTTTGACCAAATGTTGTCTTTGCACACTTAGATGAACTTGTTGGATTTGAGGAAGCATGGAAAGGAAATGTGAGAAAGCTAACTGGCTTTAGTGAAGAATTCTCTGGTCAAAATGCTATGGGTAAGGGATTATTATCCGTTCAACATTCCTGCTGCCTTGTTTTTGCCTAAATATCTGATTTGCTACTCCAGCTTCATTTTATTTATGCCTTGTGGTCCTCTCTACATTAATTTGGTGGTTTGCCATTAATTGAACATTTCATATTCGGTTTCTCCTAATTTAGGAAATATATTTGCATTAGATATGTTGTCTCGATTTCAGATTATTAGGTTGAGACTAGATTCTCTTTGCTTGCATGCAACAAGACCTTGATTTTTTAGTTGTTTACGGAGAGCCATCTGCCCAACAGTAGGGTGGAATATGGCCAGAAATCTAATCTTGCGGGGACACAATTTAATTGAGAATAAAAGTTTTGGTTAAAATATTGACACGAGTAATTATTTAATAATTCTTATATTTCTCAGATTTTTGGACGCAATTCAATTCAGTTGGATTAACTTAGTATATGATAATTATGATTTTTTATTATTTTTATTTTATTTTTTAAAGTTGTCGTTGAACGATCTTGTAACTTTGCCTAAGTTTTTCATACTGGATGGTAAGGGAGGAGGGTTGCAAAAAGTTGATAGTTAATGTAAAATGTTGTCAAATCTTGTGTTGTGTTAGTGATGTAGGATGCAATTAAACAAGATAGTAGAATTATGGAAGGAGAAGGGGGAAGGGAAGAGAAGAGAAGAAGAGAATGGAGGGGGGAAAGGAGAAGAAGAGGGGGAGATAGGAAGAGGAGAAAAAATAGACATACGGAAGTGAAATTGGGGGAGAAAGTGTCAATTGTTCTTCATATCAAAGTTGTGTTTATTACAATGCGCAAGTCTCTTTATATGGGGTTTAAACTAGTCTTAATTGAAGTAGGAAAATACTATAAAATCTATTAAATCAAACTCTAATTATGTTTCCTAAAATAAGCATCAAATTTGGAAACTAAATTAAATGATATCAATTTTAATATTTTCATCAATAACACCATACCTATTTCGTTGAGACTTGACCTATTGTACTTGCCAAAGATCTAGTGGTCTAGATCTTCAAAGAGTGGTGAAAAAGATTATTCTACCCAGCTATCATTATCAACATGGCCGAGTTGCTAAAGTTCAGATAGTGTAATAAAAACTCTTATTATTTATAATTTTATATGATGACATCAATCCATTAACATGAAGTGGACCATTCTATTTTCGGGAAAGTTGGAACGCTATTATTCTTCAATGGCATTCATATTTCCATAGGCTTGAAATGGAGTATCGAAACAGTGGATCCCAGATTTTCTTGAAGGCTGTTGGACTCATGGAAGGAAAATTAAACTCGGTTTTCTACCCTTCACAGGACAAAATCCAGTGGGGTTAGTTGCCCTTGTTCAACCCCCTGGCTCTGCCCTTGAATATGGTGCACTTTGTATGAGAAGTTTTTCAATACAAGTGAAATTTATCTTGATTGATCATCTTTCTTTTCTTTTCATGTTTTATTCTGCCTATTTTAATTTTTAGGTTGGTGTTCAGAAGGCTTGATGTTGTGGATGCTCAGTGGTGTTTTAATTCATATTGTGACGTGTTCCAATGATTTCCAAGTTCTGGTTCCCAATTAACCAACTAAATGTGCCATTTGGTGCAAAATCTGTAGGATTCAGAGGCAGTGGTCCGAACTGTGGAAGTTTGGAGCTTCCTTCAACAGGAAGATCAATCAATTTTGGATGCCCGAAACTGTATGCTAGACATGGGGTCGGTCCTCATTCGCATCAGTCGGGAATGATGAAAACAGATACTACTGAAAGGATACGCTCGTCCATGGTCAGACCAAAACACCAGTAATTTAGATCAAGTGAAGAGGATTTAGGAATGTTTTTACCTGTTGCCGTATAAATCTTTTTTGAAGCCTTATTTTTTACTCAGTTACGTTAACATGTCCTTTTCTGGGTATATTTCAGATATATAAACTAATGCAAATATGACGAGAAAATATGTTTTCTTTGGACTTAGGCCATTTTTATGCGTATGTCTACGGATCTTTAATGCAAAGCATATCTTCAACTTTAGAATACCATAAACTATACTGTTATTGTTGTTATTGTTATTGTTATTGTTATTGTTATTATTGTTATTGTTATGCGGCCCTTCTGTGTTTTGCATTTAATTACAAATTGATGCGAGAGAAGCATAATATTTCATTAATAGAATATCATCGAATCAAAGTAAACTGATTGAGAAACCTTGTGGCGATTTAGTTCTGCTAGAACAATCGAATGCTTATCCTAGATATAGAACCCAATGGAACCAGGCTTGGGTAGTATGCCACTCATGATCAGAAGAGAGCCCGGAGCAAACCCAATGCAGAGCGAACTCAATGCAGAGTCACGTGTATTCAGATTGTCAAGTCTTGATAAAAGTTATTCGATAATTGGGCGTGGAAGAGAAGTAGAAAGAAATTTGGTTAGAAATTTAATGTGTACATTTACCTAGATACGTCTGTTCATAGGACAGGAACTCTTTTGGAATTATGTTTAAGATGTTACAATTGATTCCACGTATCAATCCTCCATTGGATCGCAAAGGCTGAATTCATTATGGTAAGATCCCTTCTCCTTGGGGAAATTGATTTTCCAAGATCTTCATTGATCCCCATTGATTACGCGCTGTCTCAGGGATTGAAGAGGTTATTTCCTTTTCAAAGTATATTTAAACCGGGATTCGAACATCACGGTCACCTTTCCCATCGAATGCCATTAATGTTTCGCCTTTAGGCTTAGCGTTCAGGTGCAAGGGATTCGATTGGTTGGTGAGGCTTCCGTCGAGAGCCATTGTTACGTGAAAGCTAGAGCGATTACAATATTGTTGAAGGCGAAAGCTCAGTTATATATCTTTTGTTCGCTAGACGAATACCCATAGATTTGCCATGTGTCGCACTGTCAAGAGCCCTCGTGGCCTTTGCTGCCACGTGAGTGCTCATGTGGAGGATTTGCAGATTTCGAGGTGTAGCAGAAATTTCAAAAATAATTTCTAATATCCAGTAAGATAAGAAATCGTTCTTGGGTTAAGACCCATGAAATGAAGTAATTCATGCAAAATCACAAGGTTTCAACTTACAAGAATTTTGCTCTAATTTCCTACTCCATTTGGCTGCCCTACACCAGAACTTTGACATGTCGCCATATCGAATAGTATTAGCATTTAGACTTTGGCAAGATGACATGACGAGTGTATTTGTCATTTTCTTGCTATTTGCTAACACTATCCCAGTAGTGATGTGTCAAAATTCTAATAGTGAGACAACCAAAAGATTTCGTTTCATTTAGTACAATATGAAAAGAGCCGACAACAAAACTATTATAATCCCATCTAGACATTTCCAATCCAACGTAACATGCATACCCCGAGACTCGAGAGTACATCGGAGAGGACAATGATAATGGAAAACACCAAACAAGTATTGATAGAGATTGTAGCCTGAAAAGAAGCCAAAATGTTTGCAACATGCGAGGAATGAGCATGACAGGTAAAATGAATGGCAGATACTAATACTTCCAAGAAAGAGAATAGAAAATGACAGATAGCCCGATAAGAACATCATCAAGATCTCAAGAAAAGCTTTGTAATAAACATAGGAGAATCCGAACAAGAATATTGTAATAACAGAAATGAAGGACATGATCAATCAATACGAATTTTCGAGCCAAGAGAGAATCTGAATATATGACAATAAGCCTCCATATGGACAATATCCAATCCAACAACTAAATTATGAAATTTCACTGACAATATACTATTCACATTCAAGTTCAGATCAAGAAATAGAATATGGGTTCGGAGCGGGTCGAGGTGGAGACAATAGTAGAGTATGCATAAATAATAATTTATAACATAATGTGAAAAATCTCATAAAGCACCAATTATGGATAGACAAATTCTCAAACCAAAATATCAAATCTATTATTCAGAATAGAAGTGTTCTATAATCAATACCACTGCTCTTGAACCCTTACAAGCATGTGAAGCAAAAAGCCCTTTTTTTCAATCAGGGATCATAATGATAAATTTGTTCCAACACAAATAATAGTGTGTAATAGCACAGACATTGATTATTAAGTTTCATTTTGAACACTAAGAAATAGAGTTCTTGTTCATATCCAAAACCTACCAAAATCGATCACACGAAGGATCATTTCATTTGCTATATTAGTGTAATATCGAAACAAAGAATCCCTTTTCATGGCATCTTATATGACAAAACTGCATAAAAGATAATAAAACAGAAACATTCTATAGTGACTGTACTTCAGAAATTCTTAGACGGCATATATTCAAAGCAAGAAGAATATATAGTGATATCCAAGATGCCAGTTGTTCAAGATTACCACATATGCCATCGGCTGCTACCAACAATGTCAAACAGGTATGCTAGTTTGTTTTAAGAAACAAACAGATATTTTAATGTTTAAAAGTTCGCCATCCTTGTATGCATATCAAAAGAGAAGAACAATTAAGTAACCATGAAATGAACAACATAAGATTTATATAGGAATTGAGATGCCAATATGGAAAAAGAACCTAGGTCCTTTCTATATAAGCAGAAACAGAGGGAAATCCCTACAAAACTCGGACTGTCACACATGACAGAACATTCGGAAAATTGACAACCCACATTTTACCCATAATAATACATCTGATAAAACAATAAATTAAAATGTTCAAATAAAATTTAACCACCATTCGGAAAATTGACAACCCACATTTTACCCATAATAATACATCTGATAAAACAATAAATTAAAATGTTCAAATAAAATTTAACCACCAATTAAACTTGGGAATATCACCGATAAAGTGCCACGAATGCTATTTTATTAAACCAGAATATAGTGACGCATAACCAAATGAGCACATCATTTAAATATCAACTAAAGTTAAATGTCTACCCACACATAGGATAGCTCAACGATAATGTGGAAATTAAATGAAGACCTCTACTCGTCCATAAACATCCAAGAGTACCAAGCAAAATGCAGGGGGCGAACCGATCTCACAATTACGAAAGGTGAACGGCACGAATACTGAAACTGGCATTTATTTACAATATGAGAAAAAAAACCACCGAAAATGCAGTAGGATATAAGGATTTTTTTTTTTTTAATTCACCAGGCACTCTTCTTCTTTGAACCATAGTAACGAAGATACCATTTCACAAACTTTTTCAACCCAGTTTCCAAGTCAGTTGTCGGCCTGTACCCGAGCTCCTCTCTTGCCAAACTTATATTTGCATGTGTGTACAAAACATCCCCATTCCTAGGCATTGGCAACATCTTTTTCTTCGCCTTCACCTTCAACAATTTTTCCAGGATATCCACAAGCTTCGTCACTGGCACAGGACTCGTGTTCCCCAAATTATATATCCTAAACTGTGCCGCACCTTTCTTCTTCCCACCGTTCCCAGTACTCTTCTTTGCCGTATCCAGTGCTGCTAAACAACCGTTCACCACATCATCAACGTAGGTAAAATCACGCGCTACAGTTGCATGATCAGCACCTTCAAAGATCTTGATCTCTTTCCCCTTCAATATATCCTTGGTAAAGAAAAAGTATGCCATGTCCGGCCTTCCCCACGGCCCATAAACTGTGAAAAACCGCAGCCCGGTAATTGAAAGCCCGTAAATATGATTATATGTATGTGCTATTTCTTCACCAGCCTTTTTAGTGGCTGCATACAAACTAGCAGGCTGGTCTGTTCTATCTTTTTCAGAAAAGGGTACCTTAGAATTAAGCCCGTAAACAGAGCTACTCGATGCCCATACTATACTAGGTTGTAGGGTTGCATTTTTACATGCTTCAAGTAAGCTAACAAAACCATTAACATTACTGTGAATGTAAGAATTTGGGTTCTGCATCGCATACCGTACTCCGGCCTGGGCTGCTAAATGCATCACATGAGTAAAATGCACAGTCTCGAAAAGATTCCTAAGCAAAACTGCATCGTTTATATCGGCCTCAATTACATAGACGCCGGCACGACCAAGAAGGGCTTTTCGGGCATTTTTCAGCCCGGTGTCATAGTAATTGTTGAAATTATCAAGCCCAACTACGCCATCTCCACGACGTTTGAGGGCAATAGAGACATGAGTTCCAACAAATCCAGCTGCACCAGTAACTAGAACCGAAAAGCCCGATTTGGATCGTGGTCGGGCCGATTTCCGGGCCTTCACCTCCCAGTTCCCGTCCAAGCGCACCCGGCTCGTATAACTGGTGGTTTGAAGGCTACGACGTCTGGCGGCGGAGGCGCCGTCCGGAGGGGAGAAACAGAAGAAAAGCAGGATGAAAATAACAGAAAGGATGGACCAAAGAGCAAGCCTGGGGTGGAAGCGCAGGCGGTGAAAACTATACGCTGAAAACTTATCGGGCTTCAACTTCCCAGGGGAGGAAGGGATGATCGGGTCTAAATGGGACAATATGGGCTTCAACTGGGTCATTGAAATTCACTGATTTTTTTCCCTTGATACTAGTTTCTTACTGCAGATTAGGCTGTAAAAGATTAGGGTTTTAGTCTAAATGCATTTAGAACTTCCCTTTTCTACAAGTAAAAATTTTAACTCAATGATTGTCTGCAATTTTGAGAATTGAGGAAGAAAAGGGAAAAACGAAATGGATTTTGTAGGCTGGCCGGGGCGGCGGTGGGTGGTGGTGGTGGTGGTGGTGGAGGTGGGCTGGAGTCTGCTGAGAAAGCAAAAGGTACAGTATTTTACATCAACCAAACTCCTTAGGACTATAAAAAAGGAATATTTTCCAAAAATTGTTTTCCATTTATGGTAAAAAAAAAAAAGAAT